CAGGGCTTGCCAAACTTCATCATTTGTCACCTCAGTGCAGAGCATATCAGACGCCTCAGGAAAGAACTTGGGCAAGCCTTCACAAAAGTCCGCGATTCTTTGATGCTGGTTGCTGCCTTTGGAGAGATAGTATGCAGAGTAGAACCTTTCAAGATGCAGCCGAAAAACCTCCTAGATTGATTTGAGATGTGTGACGATACTCCCACAGTCTGTCTGTGCTGCGACGATACTACTGGGCTGGTGTTTCCTTACCTTTACACGCTGTGCATATGCCAAGTTACCTAGTTCATCAGCAGGCAGGTGCAGTTTCTACGCGCGTTCAAAAGCCCCGGACCTTGCTCTAAACAAAAGGTCGTATTTAGCTTTTTTTGCCCCAATGTACTCTTGCATTGCATCGGTCAGATTACCTGCGCGCTCAACGATTTGAATACGCCTCAATGTTTCATTCATTTGTGATGTTAGACGTGAATGGCACATTTTCCCTGCCTCCTGCGCAATCACCCGCCATCTGGCCTTCAAGAGATCCCATGCTGTCGGCGTGATTCGCGGCGTGTCTTCCAAAGACGCATAGATGTCCATGCTTATCTCAGATACCGAAACTTAATCATTTGAAATTGATGAATCTATTCGCCACAACTTAGAGCAATGCCCTCCCAGCTGGGCCTTGAAGGTGAACAGCACTGGCATGTGGTCGCTGAGCTTGCGTTGTCCATGCGCTAAAGAAGTGACATCGCATGTCTCTAAACTTGCAACGAGCTCGTTAGGGATATAGACTCTGTCAATTCTGCTCTGAGACGTACCCTGAACGCGCGCGGCTCCAAAGGTGTTCCCGTGAAGCGTTGTCCATGCATCGACCAGCTTCAACTCTCTACATATTTTGTGCAGCTATTTCGAATGGAATGTGCTTCGTCCTTGACTGGGGCCTCAGACATCTCGAATTTAATGAAAAACGCAGTTGAAATCACCTAACAACATGCAGGGTGCTGAATTTAGCAGGAATGACTTGGTAGCTCTAAAATGTCATTGACAAGATATCTATTCACATGCGCGTAAAAGCTAGTGAATCAAATTTTCTGGTCGTTTATCCACATGTCCACCGCAATAACGCGGCCTTCTACATCGAAGAGGCAATGCGCACCCAGCCTGAACCTCCGATTGAGAAACACGACACTGGTGCCACGTGACTTCTTCTGCGTTATGGAGAAGAAGGCTTCAACCGAAAATCTAGTACAGAAAGTCATGACGTCGTGCCGCGCTAGAAAGTTGGTCTCTTGCAGAAAAAAGCACGTCCACCCTGAGCGAGCACGCAAGGTTCATTATCTCATGTTGTTTTACAAGATCCTTGAAAGCACGAACATTGAAAGTCATGAAAGATAGACTATTCATTTAAAATAAATTAAGGAGGAAAAGAAACAATCGTTTTATCCCTACCAGCGATGAGTCAGGGGACGCCACTACCTCTCCTGTGTCAAGCGACAGTAAATGAAGTCAACGTGATGATACTCGTAGGACTGGCGCTGCGATTTACTCACCCGCACATTTACAACGGACACAGTAAGCAACACCAATAATAACAGCAATAGTACACGCCGCTTGCAACGTAACTCACATGATGCACTTACTATAAAAGGGCATCGCCGTCACAGCAGAGAACTCACAAATTGGTGCATCAAGGTTACTCCGTGAATGACAGTAACATACGGAATACCAGACAGTTTGCGTGCATCATTGACAGCAAACGCATAGTGGTTGTAGGGGTTGGAAGCAAGCATTTCAATGATACGGGCAACAGGAAGCGAAAGAATGAATATGGGTAGCACAAAACAAAAAAAGAAAAACATATCGAGTCCTCACCCGCATCAGGTGATAAATCTCGGTTTGGCGAATCCACTCGGGTCTTTTTGGACGTTCCGGAAGTGATGACGCCATTTCCACTGCTTGAGCTACCAGGCTTGGAGCGACGCTGAAAGTTTGTGGCTCTAGACAACTTGTTGGGAGAACACGTATTTTCAGGAGACAAAGATATCGATCGTGCGCCTTGCGAAAGTCTGTCACCTTAATTTTCGTGATGGTGACCGGCTTCTACAATGTCTTGATGTCTTGTCGGACGCTTCTTTTTGGGCCTGTACAGCGTGTGTGCGAGGCGTTTTAGGTTTCCCTGAAGACGACGTCTTTACCTCTTTCGTTGGAGCCCTCTTCACGCTACTTTCCAGGCCCGCAGGTGGGCGTTCATCGAGCTCGTCCCTTGCACTCGTTGTTTCGGGAGGTCGGATATTGGCGAGCAATTTTCCTGGTTGAGCAGTGCCCCGAGATGTTTGGGACGCTTTCTCCAGCAGTGATGCATTCGAGTATTGTTTGTTTTCTGTGGCCTTGACTTCCTCTGATGAAGACGTAGCAAGTGCACACGGCGTCTCCGCAGCGTTGCTGGGCTACTCTTGTGACGTTGTGGGGGATGACAACGCTGCGGTGTCCCCTGTCAGCGCAGAAACGTTGTTGTCACTCGTTGTGCATGGCGACGAGGCATCAGCGCCGCTGGCGTCTTCTGACTTGGCGTCATGAAATTCTGTGTCGATTGCGCTGTATTCATTCCACTAATCTGGAATCTTCTGTTGCCGCGGCTTGGTTTTGCGTTGCAAAACTTCATGTGCCTGGATGTTCGAACTTGGGTCGTTCCCTTCGAAGCAGGCTCTCCAAGTTCTGGGAATTCGTTCAGCGACTGTGAGGTACTCTGCGCTGCATCTGCGTATGACTTGGGACAAAATCAATCTTTCATCGCGTGGTCCCTATTACAGCGCTTACATTTGGACACACAATCATCAGATGTATGGCCAAAGGTGCCACATCTTTTACAGAAGGGTGTTGTGCAAGTAGCCGCAACATGACCTTCTCTGCTGCAGCGTGCGCATACTCTGCGCATACCGCCATACTCGAGCATCACGAAGTGACCATGAATTGATAGGAAGCTAGGGGCGGGCTTGGTCATCTCGATTCGGACGATGCGGGTACCAGTGTACGTTGATTGATACCTTTGCAAGGTAATAATGCGATACCCTTCACTTTTTCGTATGGCTGAAGAGCTGAAATAACTGCGTCATATGACACGTATGGCGGGAGGCGGAATACACTGACTTGCACACTTGGCACCCTGACTGCTTCAACTTGTACCTGGTGACCTTGAAATTTGAAATCTGGTTTACCATGAACTTGGTTGATTGTGCAGTGAACCGAGCCGCATCTAGAAACTTAGAAGCTGCGAGGTGTTGCAAAAACAGCTCCCCTTCTTTCCCCGTGACGCCTTCGAGAACATCGATGATCTTGTCGACGGATGCCGTTCCCTCCGGGACTGTGATGTTAAAGCAGTGCTCCTTGAAGGGAAGTGCCGCATGCCTTGAGGCCATCCTCGCTCGTCCCGGCAGGGGCCGAGGACGATGGGATCAGGCCTCAAGGTAGCTGGCTGGCTAAGTCGCGAGTGAACACCCGGCAGTGACGCCGCCGGAACACTGGTCGCGTTGAAGACTGGGACGGCGAAAGGATCACATCACAAAATGACGGATCGTTTCCATCGCGCGCCTAACGAGTTGAATGTCGACACTTTTTTAGGTCACATGGTGCTCCAAGTGCGTCTTAGTGTTACTAATTTTTCTTAGTAAGCTTCAGATTGGAGGCAAAGTTCTCTGGAGATTATGTCACCCATGCTCCTTTGTGCGTTGTTGCATCGGGAACAACTATCATTTAATATGATACTAACGTAGCATGTACAATAACATACCAAAGCCACTTGATGTTCAAGTGGGCATTACCAGAAAAAAGCATGTTTCTGTCATCTCGGCTGTGGCAAAAGATGGCTTCACCTCTGCTTACAAGGCATTCCGGCAGCTTCCATTGCAGCAATTTTTCATTAGTCCTCTTTGGTTGCGAGTGACGCTCCTTGTAAATGCGAAGCATTTCTTAGCAAACTTAGGTGACATTGGGCGTATCTATCTATCTATCTATCTATCTATCTATCTATCTATCTATCTATCTATCTATCTATCTATCTATCTATCTATCTATCTATCTATCTATCTATCTATCTATCTATCTATCTATCTATCTATCTATCTATCTAGCGGCCTGTGACCTTTAGCTATCCTTGTCGTTTCGAAGATGGTATCGATACAAAACTTTGTATGCCATAAAATGACTATGAAGAACATATTTGACTAGTCATAACATGAAAATCGTGAGATGTATGTCATGAATGTCATAATTTACATTTCATGGTGCTGCAACTTTTGCGGTGGTTTCGTTCACATGGGATGTTGCAAAACTGGTATGGTATGGCATGATTGCATGGAGAATACAAGCGACAGACACCAACACGAAAATGATATGCGTAATTTTTTGGTACGTGACGTCAATGGATGAAGAAATATATGACTGCTGCAAGCATGCTAATCCTGGCACGCGCGTCATGTAGGAATATGACAACATATCTCGCTCATAGCGTGCTCATGGCCGTTTCGCTAGCTCCACATATACTAAGTCTGGTATCACGTGGCTTGAATATATGACGAAGGTAAACGACCTATCCATACATAATTCATATGACACGGACTTCATGTACGGCATTATTTACCTCCACCTCGTAACGTTGTGCTAATTTTAGAAGGACAAGTAGTGAAGACATCTCATTAGTGCTTCGCATATCATCGATTCCCACTTGACGTGTGCTCTGAATTTTTTTTTTTGTCGTTCTTCACTCTCTGTATTATTTTTAGGCGTGTAGAATTGTCCGCCTTTATGATGTGTCATCCAGACCAGAAAAAAGCACCACAAAGCGACATAGTTTCAAAACCTGGGTTTCGCTATGTAGTTACTTTGGTCGCTTTCGATGCAGTTCACTTCCTGCACAATGCACTTACACAGTAATGATGTACCCAGCGTGCCAAAATGTAGGACTATCTGCTATCATCAGCCAGTTTCTTTGGTACAGAGCATGAAGTTGCATTTATACCCACCTTGAGGGGCCTACAAGTATACAGTGTTCGCTGTCTTGGACGCATATTTCTGAACGAGGCATGTAGTAATTCCCATTTCTGCATTCACACTTGCTGCCAAGAAGATGACAATTACTTTCTCCATTTGGACATTGGCACTTGGCGCATCCATTCTTTGCAACGCCACTGCATGAGGAATAAGGTTAAAACTTGCAATATTTGATTACGCAAGTACGGGATGTACAACTGAAAACAGAGTGGTTAAGGAAAAGTGACATTGGGTCGCAAGAAATGAAGGGTTATACAAAAAAATAAGGCTACATGAAAACAATACATTAGGTCATATACCAATGCATTGTCATTCATATTCTTTAAGGAAATATGGTCCGCCTCGGTAGAACAGTGGCAATGGTGCTCAAAGCTGACCCAAAGGTCGAGGTTTTGATTCCGGCCGCGGTGCTCACATTTGGACCAAAGCAAAATGGTAGAGGCCCGTCTACTGTGCGATTTAAGTGAACAGAAAAGAACACCAGATGGTCACAATTTCCGGAGCCCTCCACCATGACATCTCTCATCAAGAAATCGAGAAAGAGAAACACCGCGAAAAACAAGAGACCGAAGAAATACACATACAGGGCGCTGACTTACAACAAAAACTTTATTCTTCAAACCACGCATATATACCTATGCAGTGGAACAAAAAAGAAGAAACAAGAGTGACAGCCGGTAAAAAAAAACCATAAAATCATTCTCATTGCTCATGCAATCAACCAGATAAAAAGAAAGCTTCCTTTTCTGAGAGGGCAACCGAAGGCCTACTCACGCAGGCGTTCTCAGTCAAGCATTCTTCAAGGCCTCCGGTATTTCACAGGTAAGCTGGTCCCAATGACGCTTGATAACCGTTTATGACTGAAGATGAGGAGTACACCCACAATTTCGCTCATGAATGCCTATATGGCCAGAACCGTCGAGGAGACGCTGTAAGCTTTTTCTTCAGACGCTCATTCAGACATCGCCCAGTTGGTCCTACGTTGTTTACCACACGACAACTCCATGGAATACACCATGCCATGAACGCATAGAACCAACTTATTCCGGTGCTTCGTTGGGCAGGTGGTGGTCTCCCTAGCTCCTGGGTCGATGGCCCTACACATGCTAGCCAGCTTCTCCGAGGCACAAAAAAACAACCAAGCCGCCACATCTGCCGGCTATCTTCTTTAGGTTGTGGGATACGCCGTGTATGTAAGATATGACAGCGTACCTCTTATTTTGCGGTCTAATTTTGCGAGTTAGAGCAGGCGACCCTGGACTCAATTTTTAGATGCGGAGCATCTTATACTCGCGCCTTGTAGTGCGCCGTCCGCGCCGTCCGCGCCGTCCGCACCGCTTCTCGAACATTCGACAGCTGACGCGCGCGCATGCGCCGTCGCGCCGTCGCCCACTCTTCCACCATCTGTGCATCCCTTCCTCCTCTACACACCGCGCCCGCTTCACTCCTCCACCATCTGTGCACCCTTCCTCCTCTACACACCGCGTTCGACATCTACAATTCTCCTGATTCTCCAGTGGACGCGCATGTGGCGTCGCGCTTCGAGAACATTCAACAGCTGACAGTGCATGCGCCGTCGTGCTGTATATAAACTCAAGGTCGGCGCTCGCTCGCTCAGTTGCCGCTCGTCGGTTGGTTTGTACGGCGCGTCGACGTCCAAGGTCGCGGTGAAATGAATTCCAACGAATCCACAAACACAATGATCGACGTCCCTTCGACCAGCGCCGCCCTTTCGCATACGTGTGTACGTGTTCACTCATTTAACACCCCCTCCTACAACCACGTTAACCAATTTAGCCATCGACCCAAGTAAGTCGCAATTTAACACCCCATTTCACAACCACGTTAACCAATTTAGCCATCGACCCAAGTAAGTCGCACTTCAACACCCCGTTAACCAATTATATGGTCCGCATCCTCCTCAGTGTTCCCCCGAGGGAAGCTGCGGGCAATTTTTTTAGCAAACATTCAGCCACAGTGGTCATCACGCGACGCTGGCTTTCTGCATTGGTGAGGCGTTCTACCTGCATATAAAACTGGCCTCAATCTTGTAGTAGCACGACTTCCCCAAAACGTGGGCGAAGCAGGCCTTCGCTACAGCTTTTTTGAAAACTTTTTACAACCGTTTCTGTTAAGCAAGTTCTGTATTTCCTAAAGGTATAATATTTTTTTACTAACATTTGATAAAGAAATTGATTTGTCGTTTTTGAAAATGACCCATATAAAATAAAGCTATAGTGAGCCAATTTAGTCCGTCTTTAAGGAAAAAAGATAATGTTTCACTTGCTAAGGTTAAGACCATGGCGAAAAAAACTCCCTGAAAAGCTAAACCTTGATGTACTTACTAAAATGTTTGATGCCGGAAAAAAACTCAGTTTGTAAATATTCTTCAATCACAAAACCCACAAAGTGGGTTGTCTTTTTCGCGTTATAGCTTCTGAGGCCAACACGTGGCAAATGTTGATAGCGAAGTTTCTTCAGAGCAAGTTGAAGTGTCAGAAATCGATTATCCCTTTCTTGTCAAGAATTCACAAGACGCCATTGCATATTTTAATGATAATCACTTTGTTGGCTTCCCGTCTTGTTCGGTAGACACCGAGGATCTTCATTACTCTTTGCATCACAGTGAGCTTCTCGTTTGTATCCTTGATTGCATTGAATACTTTGGTGTTATTGCCTATCAGAACATGACGGGTATTTCTGTGGATGGCTTCACGGAACTGCTGGACTTTTACCGTAGGTCTACCAATGCACCTTGGGGTAATCCTGCTTATTTGCAACGAAAAGCCGTTTGCATCGGCTCGGGCTTGGTACCCGTATTGAGTGATTTATTTTTGGCTAGCCTTGATTGCATGGTTCAGGAATGCTTAACTGAGTTGAATGTTGCGAAAGAGTTTCGCTAGGTTGACGATTTCCTTGTATTCTTTGAAGCTGGTACTTCAGCTGTAGGTATATCAATGAACAGTGTTCTAGACGTTTCTCGTGCGTGCATGTCAACTCTTGCTTTAACTCATGAAGTTGCTGATGAGGAAACAATCCGCTTCCTGGATTTGAGCCTTGCTGTCAAATATGACCATGTTTCTTGGCAGTATGCCACACGCGATAGTAAGTCTTTGCTACCAACGTTTGAATCGGCCAACTCTGAAGTTGTAAAAAGGGCTCTAGCGAAGGGCTGCTTCGCCCACGCTTTGGGGAACTCGTGCTACTACAAGATCCAGGCCAGTTCTAGTATGCAGGTAGAACGCCTTCCCATTGCAGAATACCCGTGACACGTGATGACCACTGTGGCTCAACGTTTGCTCAAAGAACAATAATGAGTACAGGGTTGCCTGCTCAGAATCACGAAAGTAGACCGCAAAGAAAGAAGTGCTCTATCATTCCTTACATCCATGGCGTGGCCCACAATATAGAGAGGGTAGCCGGCAGATATGACGTCGAGGTAGTTTTTTGTGCCCCAGAGAAACAGGCTAGCATGTGTAGGGTCAAAAACTCATAAGATAGGAAGACCACCACCTGCCCAACTAAGCATTGTAATTAGTTGGTTCCATGCCTTCATGGCATGGTGTATTCCATACCATTGTCCTGTGGTAAACTATACATAGGACATACTGGGTAATGTCTGAAAGAGCGCCTCAAGGAACACGCTTACAGCGTTCCCTCGGTGGTGTCAGGTCACCGAGGCATTCATTGCCAAGATTGTGGGTGCACGACTGACCTTAAGTCATGTGCGGTTATGAAGCTCCCTCGGGACCAGCTTACCCATAAAACGCTCGAGGCCTTGGTAGATTGCTAGACTGGGGCATGCATGCGTGAGTAGGCCTTGTACCGCCTTTAGCGTCAAGAGTCCTACGGACGTGAATCACATCGGCTCCAGCTCACGTTCATTTTCAAAATTTTCTTCCTGGCAACCTGTTGCAGTGATGGGAACTTGTTCCTAGCATCACCAGTGTCAAGCCTATACCAGGACTTCAACCTGTGAGTGTGCTTTTAAACGTCTTAACGCTTTCAAAAGTTCTTAGGTGGTGTCCACCTCGCTAACCCTAACAAGCAGGGGACGCGGCTTGGACAGAACGCCGCCCCGCTCTAGAGCTGATGGCCAGTGGCTCTGCGAGTGTCGCAGCCGACGAGAACCCCTCATTGCTCTCTCGCTCCATGGACCACATGATGGATATGCAGACCAGCCAAGACGCCAATAGGCAGGCTAGCAATGAGCACAACGCACATCCATCTATTACCAAGAGAGCGAACAAACGCCGACAGCTGCAACCCCATACCGTACCGACTCAACAGCTGCCCAGCACGCCATCTGAGCCCACTCTACGCCAGAGCCGGCCTAAGATGCGTCTACCAAGACTCCCACTGCTCCTAGCCGAGGACTACAAGCTAGCAATCCGTCTCCATGGTGGATTAAATGTGAGCAAGGTAAGCCCCAAGACGTTACTTCTCGCCGTAGCTCATGCAGCAAATATACGCAGTGTGAAGCCTGGTATCAGCTTACTCAGCTTGCTCTCTGTAGTATACAAGCTATTTACAAAGTTAATTGCTAACAGAGTAAAGAAAACATTAGAATTCAATCAACCAAAGGAACAAGCAGGATTTCGAACAGGCTACTCAAAAATTGACCACATTCATACTATCAATCAGGTAATAGAGAAATGCTCAGAGTATAACCAACCCCTATACATAGCCTTCATAGATTACAAGAAAGCGTTTGATTCAGTAGAAATATCAGCCGTCATGCAAACACTGCGGAATCAGGGCGTAGATGAAGTATATATAAACATTCTGGAAGAAATCTACAGGGGATCAACTGCTACCATAGTGCTTCATAAAGAAAGCAACAGAATACCAATCAAGAAGGGTGTAAGGCAGGGGGACACAATTTCCCCAATGCTATTTACCGCGTGCTTACAGGAGGTTTTCAGAAGCCTAGAATGGGAACAGTTAGGGATAAGAGTCAATGGAGAATACCTTAGTAACCTGCGCTTCGCCGATGACATTGCATTGCTGAGTAACTCGGGGGACGAATTGCAACTCATGATTACGGAGCTAGACAAGGAGAGCAGAAAGGTGGGTCTTAAAATTAATCTGCAGAAAACGAAAGTAATGTACAACAACCTCGGCAAGGAGCAGCGCT